CCGGTCCGGTACGGGCGCGACACTGAGGGTTGTGATCCGTTGCCGGACACGAAAAAAGACAAAAAAAAAGGGAAAAAAAAAAAAAAAACTTGAGCTGCACAAAAAGCCTTCCCTAGGGAATCAGCAGCAAAGCAGCAATTTAGCTCAACCACAGGGCTCATGTGCTGGTTCCCACAGGAAGTCCCCCCATTTTAGAAGAAAAGGACAACAAATTAGTTCCAGTGCAGAGTTTAAGTGGTGGGAACAGCGAATAATCCAACACAGAACTGAAAGAACAAAGAAGATACCCACAGATTGAGACAAACTTTGATATTAACCAGTAAAGGCCTAACACCACCAAAGAACACCTACCTATAAAACCTAGAAGGACTGGAAACCCCCTGGACTCCCAAGCCAGGGAGAGGGGAAGGTCGGGCCTCAGCTACACACTGCCCCAAATCCACAACCAGCCCAATGACGACCACCATGCCACTTCTGGAAGTGCTCCAGGCTTCTGAGCTGGGGCTGTGGGGGTGCCGAGGGCCTCAGCCACGCAGCCCCTGCCCCCGCCAACATCTGCAACCAGCTCAGCGATGACCACTGAGCAGCTATCTGAAACACTGCAGGCTTCTGAGCCAAGGTGTGGGGTGCCAAGGGCTTCAGCCACGCTCCCTGAGATCTGCATCTAGCCCAGCAACAACAGAGCCACTGCTGGAAGCCCCCTGTTCTCTCCTGCTGGAATGAGGGGTGTGCCATGGGCCTTGACTCTGTCCCCCTCCTTTCTCCTCCAACCTGATTTCCCTCCCCCTTCCTCTCTACCCCTCCCCCCATTGCTCTGCAACATTAGAATGTAAAATAATATTAAAAAAAAAAAGTAGCCACCCCCACTCCAATCAGTATTTGTGCAGGTCTATTTCTCTCTATTCTGATCCATTAATCTAAGTATCTATCTTTTTGCCAACACCAGCCTTGATTACTGTAGCTATGTAATAAATATTAATCAGGTAGATTCCTCCCACTTTATTCTTTTTTGAAACGGTTTTAGCTCTTCCAGTTCCTTGCCTTTCCATATAAATTTTGGATAAACTTGCTTTTATCTACAAAAAATCTTGCTAGGATTTTGAAACCTATTTATCAATTTGGGGAGGACTGATATCTTTACTGAACATCCCAAATCCATTAACACAGTATGTCTCTCCATTTATTTAGTTCTTTAATTTCTTTCATTAGTGTTTTGTAGTTTTCATCATACAAGTCCTGTACATGTTTTGTTACATTCACACCTAAGAATTTAATTTTTTGGGAGAGGTTGTAAATGGTGTTGTATTTTAAATATGGTTTCCACATGCTCCTGGCTAGTATACAGAAATGCAATGCTTTTTTGTAGATAGATCTTATATCCTGAAACCTTACTGAACTCAGTTATTAGTTCTAAGAGTTTTCTTTTTTTTTTTTTTTCGTGTCCGGCAACAGATCGCAACCCTCAGTGTCGCACCCGTACCGGACCGGGACCGGCAACGGGATCGCAAACCTCGGTGTTGCGCCCGCACCTCGCTCAGCCAGTGAGCGGGAACCGGTCTGTATGTGGGATCCGAACCCTCGGCGGGGGCGCCGCCATGCTCCCAAGCGGCGCACTGTAGCAGTGTGCCACCAGGCCGGCCCTAGTTCTAAGAGTTTTATGGTCAATTCCTTGGAGTTTTCTATGTAGATAATCATGTCATCTGCATAAAGGGATAGTTTTTGTTTGGCTTTTTTTTGGCGGCTGGCTGGTAAGGGGATCTGAACCCTTGACCTTGGTGTTATAACACCTCATTCTAACCAACTGAGCTAACTGACTGGCCTAAGGGATAGTTTTATTTCTTCCTTTCTGATCTGCACCTTTTATTTCCTTTTCTTTATTGCATTGGCTAGAACTTCCAGTACTATGTTGAATAGCAGTAAACAGAGACATCCTCGCCTTGTTCCTGATCTTTGAGGAAATGATTCACCATTACATATGATGTTAGTTATAGGTTTTTTTGAAGATGTTACTAAGTTGAGAAAACTCCCCTCAACTCTTAATTTTCTCAGAGTTTTAATCATGAATGGGTATTACATCTTGTTAAATGATTTTTCTGCATCAATCGATATGGTCATGTGATTTTTCTTCTTTGGCCTAGTAATATGGTAGATTACACTGATTGATTTCCAAATACTGAATCATTCTTGCATCACTTGAATAGACCCCACACGGTCATGGTGTATAACTTCAAAAATATATTGCTAGGCTCCATTTGCTAATAGTTTGTTAAGGATTTTTGTATTTACATTTATGAGGAATATTGGTCTATGGATTTCTTTTCTGCACTGTTTTTGTTTAGTTTTGTTATTAGGGTAATACTGCTTTCATAAAATAAATTGGGAAGTATTTCCTACTCTGTTATTTTCTGGGAGAGATTGTGTAGAATTGGTGTTAATTATTCTTTAAACATTTGGCAGAATTTTCTAGTGAAACCATCTGGGGATGAAGAGTTCTCTTTGAGAGATTTAAAATTACCAATTCAATTTCCTTAATAGCTATAGGGCTAAACAAATTATATGAGTGAGTTTTGGTAGTTTGCATTTTTTGAGGAGTTGATCCATCAGGTTGTCCACTTTATATGAGTAAAGTTGTTCATAATATTCCTCTTTGGATGTATGCAGGATCTATAGTGACATCCCCTTGTCAGGAGTGATAATTCCTGATATGAGTTAATTTATGTTTTCTTTCTTTCTCTTGGTCAGCCTTGCTAGAGGTGGGTGAAACGTATTTTTATTAACGTTCAGTTTACCTCCAAATTTTAAACTGACTCTTTATGAGAAGACTGCAGTGGTCAGCATATAAAACTATAGAAAGAACACAGGAGAGAGAACCTGTCTTTCTCTCTCTGAGCCAAGCAATGTGTATGGTTAAATATAGAGCTTGGACAGAAAAAAAAAATAAAAAGGTGAAAAATGGTATTCTTGGAACAGATGTGGGATTCTTAGCCTATATGCTTATAAAAAGCTTCAAGAAAGGAAAGATGTGAGTCATAAATATTAAACCACTAACATAAATCAAGTGTGTTTTCTATTTCATACTTTCAGTGTCCTTAAAGATTATCTAACAAGTACAATTTAAGAATCAGTATCTAAATTAAAGGGATATGCCTAAAACAATGGGCTGACACCACTAAGATGAAGGTAACAAGGAGAAATGTGAGACACAGCAAAACTGAGAGAAAGTATGTGACTTAAAAAGCAATGTGGGTGAAAAGGCTTCATGTGAGCCGATAGTATAACATGTTTTGATTTCAAAAAGCTAAGGCATTCTTAGGCTATATGGACTGAAGTACAGAATGTGAATCTCATTGTTATCAATATATAGCAGATATCACCTGGAGTATGATATCCAGTCTTGTACACCCAAACTTTCAAAGAGATACTGACAAGCTAGAGAAGGACATACAGAAAAGGATGATCAGGCCAACGAGGAGGCAAAAGATAGATTCTGAGACTCATCAGAGGTAAGAACTGTAACCATGGCAGGAAATTTGAGGAAAATATATTTTGGCTTGGGAAGAACATTCCAAAAGACATAGCTGACCAACAAGGGAGTAGACTGTCTTGCAAAGTACAGCTGAACAACCCTAATCTGAAAATCTGAAAGTTTCTGATTGCCAAAATGATGCTCAAAAGAAATGCTCACTGGAGCATTTTAGATTTTCAGATTAGAGATGCTCATCCAGTTAAGTATCTGCAAATATTCCTAAATCTGAAAAAATCCAAAATCCAAAACTCTTCTGGTCCCGAGCACTTTAGATGAGGGATACCCAACCTGTAGTACTTTCCTTTCTCTACCAATGAAAGTCAGAAACAAAGACTGTATGGTTGTATATTAGGGATGCCTAGTCTAAATTGTGGGTAAATTTTGCCGAATGGAAAACTACCTACACATTGTCCCTACTTTCTCATTCTTCCACAGACCATTGGGAATGTCATGTCAGAAGAGTACTGTTCCACAGACTAGCTTAGGGACTGAAGGAATCATAGCCTGGGAGATTTTCTTTTAGATCATGAAGAATCCAGAAATTCAAATACTTTCCACCTCTATAGTTACCTCATGGAGTTCCCATTTAGTTGTAACTGAAATTAAGTCTTGTAATTAAGTATATACGTAACAGAAAAACAAACAGGAGAAAAAGAAAGGAAAATATAACTTATAGAAAAAGTTGTAGTAAACTTTTTTCTTGGTCACAAGCAACTTGGGTGAAATTTGTTATAAAATTCAACAAGTTTATCTTTTTGGGGGATTAGACCTGAAGTAGCATCTTTGAAAGGGCTTTCATCAATAAGAATAACAGGATAGAGGAACACTCTCAGGTGTGTAAGCAACCCTTCTGCAGTAAATAGTCAATCACTAAGTCTAGGTAGTTTTTACTAATGATACAGCCAATTTTCATCAAACCTCCATTATCAGTTTTTGCCAAGCTTAACAGCAACCCCAAACACTTTTCCACACATGAATTCTCTAACACTGCACAAAATTTTCCTGTCATAGTGTAAAGCAGGAAGAAGAAAGCCAACAACTGTAGCCACTTTCTAAAAATGTTGATGTGCTGTCAAAACAGTCCTCGTCAGGGGCCGGCCTGGTGGTGCACTGGATAGTGCGCTGCTTGGGAAGCGCGGCGGCGCTCCCACCCGAGGGTTCGGATCCCACATACAGACCGGTTCCCGCTCACTGGCTGAGCGAGGCGCGGGAGCAACGCTGAGGGTTGCAATCCCGTTGACGGTCCCGGTCCGGTACGGGGGCAACACTGAGGGTTGCGATCCGTTGCCGGACACGGAAAAAGACAAAAAGACAAAAAGACAAAAAAAAAAAAAAACAGTCCTCGTCAGTCACTCCTGGGACTGGCCTGGCATATTCTTAGCAGCCTGTAACACGACTTCCTTTACTGACAACCAGGTAAAGGAAGGTTCAACATTGTACCTTCACCCAGAGTCAGCACTCAGTGTGTCATTACCTTGTTCAAATTTGAAATCTATGTAAGAATACTGATTCATTTCTTTTCTCTTCTTCCTTTTTCCACTGGATTCTGGCGACAGCTCCTGCCATTTTTTAATGGCATCAGAAAAGGCCTAAAAATGGAGAAAGGGAGAGGTTATCACTATAAACAGAAAACAAGAATACATGAAACATAGGTAATCCCCAAATCTCGTTTTGACCCAGTTTCAGCTATCTTCCCTGCATGGCTTACCAGAGCTAGTGGCCAAATAAACAGGTAGCATTTCATTATTTTTTTCTCTGACTTTCATAAACTGCTACAGTGGCAGAACCAATATGCTTACTGACAATTAAAGGGCAACATAAGAAAATAAAAACTGTCCAACCTGTCCTTGCTTAAGTACAGGTTAAATCACATGGCAATGGCCAGTAAGTTAGTTATGTTCTGTAGACATATCTTGCCTGGTGTTTTCTCTGTCAACATGTCCTCTTTTACTCCCACTACCTTCCTTCCCCTATACTGCTCTTCACTTGCAACCTTTCTACGACACTGGGTTAAAAATTCTTACACCAGTGATAATCCCTTTTCTTCTGTACCTTCAGCTTCTCCCACTTTCTTAGATCTTTCCAATCAGCACTGAAATGTACTCAAGTCTTTGTCAGCTTAAAAAAGAAAATCCTTCCTCCACTACTTTTTTTTTTGGCGGCTGGCTTTCCTCCCTTGATCTCATTCCCTTTTCAGCTGCCAACACCTCTTTCTTCTTCCCCTCTCTGTAGCCAAACTTATGAAAGGAACTGTGTGCATTTTGTTTCACCATCTCACCTCCCACGAGCATGCGCTTTCCAGCCCCCACTAGTCTCGCATCTAACCTGACCATTCTACTTGCATTAACAAGGGGCTAAGTCTACCACCTACATTTCAGTCCTCATTCTACTTGATCTCTTAGCAGTATTTAATAATGCTGACTGCTCCGCTCTCCTGACTTCCTCCTTCCTCTGCCTGCTCCTTCTCCACCATCCTCCACTTGGTCTTCACGTGGTGAGTCCTTTCTTCTCACCTAATACTCTCTCTAGGTATCTCATCCAGGCTGGGGAGGTTACCTTCCATATACTGATGGCTCTCAAAATCCTATCTCCAGTCTAGATTTCCAATCTTTTCTGTCCATTCAACCATCCAATGAACTATTTTTATTGGATGTCTTCACAGGCCCTACTCAGCATGTTGGCAATGTTTCCCAGACTGAATTCATGACTCCTTCCCTCTAAACCAGTGCTGTTGTAATATTCCTCACCCCTGTAAATGGCATTACTATCTTATACACTTCCTTTCACCTAACTCCTATTTAGGCTTGTGATTAAATGTTACTTGCTCAGGGAGGCTCTCCTAGAGCCCCTTGGTCTACCTTAAGTGTTAGTTATACCCTTTCAAAGCACCCTGTATTTTTCTTTCAAAGTCTTTATCACAGTTGTAGTTACATATTTATTTATTTGCTTCTGTTTCACGTTATCTCCTCCAATAGACTGTGAGACTCTGGAGGAGAAGGAATGTTACCATAGCTTAAGGTGTATCCTTAGCAACTTGCACAGTTGCATGTAATATTCATTTGGGGAATAAATGAATAGTTATGGGGGATATGTATGTGTTATAGGCATGTTGCTAATAATCACATTTTGAATTTGTTTATCCTGGATAAACAGCTATGTATCCCTGTGGTGAAATGATAACAAAAGAAAAGCATTTTAGCTGAAGAGGAGGGAAGGATCACCCTTTTACCTTAATCTACCTCCCCCCCTTCCTTTTGGACCTTTCTACTCATTATCACAATTGATTCTCGCAATAATCCTCTGAGGTAGATATTATTTATTTTACAGTAGAGGAAAGCAAGGCCTAAAGAAAAGAAGGAACTTACCCCAAGTCAAAACTTAGCAAAAGCTAGAA